AGGAAGTCAATAGGGACATCCAATAAGGGGAAGTTGACATGCTGGAGGGCTGACGTTTACCAAGGGGTACATGCCGACCTTGAGGAAGTCGATCAAGAATGGGGCGTGGTCGAACTGCCGGGAATAGGACTTATGAGAGTGTTGGATGGGGAAGTCGACACAGAGTTGGCCGGGAGGCCACTGGGGATCTCAAAATGCCATCCTATCTTATTGGTATTATTACATTTCAAAAGTGTATTTCTTAGAAACACCATTAAAATACTCTCTATCCCATTTAAACTTTTCCACACGATTCACGATGTTTGACTGGTCATAAATTTAATTGATTCCTGTCATTAGTAGAATTATTTTTAGTAAATAAAATTTACATATTCAAAAACTACATTAAAACCGCTACAAAGCCTGATCAAGAAAATTTAAATTTGATAAAAATTTGATATGTAAAGTAAAAGATTAAGAACAATGCAAGTTGATCGAAGAATAGTGGATGAGAACTTTTAAATGGGACAGAGAGAGTAACATTTTTTATTTGTATTGTCATTGTGACAAAAATGTTGACATTTTTTTCCGAACCTCGACAATGACGGTGCTTGAAGGTGGCAAAAAATGCCATCTTTTTTTAATTCATTTTTTATAAATAAAAACATGAATTTCTTAATATTAAAATGTAGTATTAAGAGTAGAATTGACATAGAGAACACTAATAACTCATACTCCGTATTTTGGGAATTTAAAACTTCTATTCTTACTCTTGCAATTTTATACTACGTTTTTATTTATTTACTCCAATTTAGTGAATTGCCCCATATGATTTAATATTGATTCAAAACTATAAATTACTATTGAAAAAAAAAGGTTTTTGAAGGATATAAGACTTCGGTTCAGTCTACCATTAGACTGTTCCACACAAAATTTGATCCTATAGTGTTCATTTTTTGCAGTAGACTAGGTCCATTGTTGAATCTTTTTATCAAAGTGGGGTTAGTTTAAAACTTTAAATGTCTTAAAGCAGGCACTTAGTGGGGAATTTACATTTGAACTTTTTTCTCGTATTTTGAATTGGCGAAATTTTACTTTTGCCATTTCAAAGAGTAAAATTTCATCAAACTAAAATCTAGTTTAAGCGCCTTAAGCTTGGATACAAGTGGTTGTCCTTGGCTAGCAAAGTCTGATAAAGTATCTAAGATATTTACGTTAATTTGAGCATAAGAATTGACTATAAGAATGAATAATAATAGCTTAAGAAGTGTTCACAATTTTTTTTAGATTGATAAAATCATTCTAAAAAATCAATAATGGTACAATCTCCTATGATCCTATCCCTACAAAGGTGCTATGTTTAACTTACCCGCACGGGGTATCGCAATGGCATCTGAGTGTGGCATTTAAGGTAAAATTTCATAGTCAATTCCGTTCATGACACTGTGAGAGTTTCATTCTATGTGGTGGTTCCTTGTACATAACAAACCCTGTCAATTGACTGCACTCAGAAATTGTTTGATATCATATCATATCATGAATTGAGTTGTTGAATTGAGTTGTGAGGAAGTTTGGGATATGCAATTTCACATTTCTGGTTCTCCTATGATTAACTTTATTTTATGGAAATTTCTCATGTTTAGTGTCAACTTCTTACACTACATAGAATGAATTGTCAAAATCCAAACAAAGTCCTTTTAAGTATTAAAATAAAAGTCAACAATTAAGTTGTGAGACACAAACTCAACAAAACTAAACATCAAACCAAATACAGAAATGGAATACTATCGTACAACTTATTGTTAGGTCAACAACCCTTGGCTGGCAAAGTCTGATGAATATTTAAGATACTCCGTATTTATGTAACTGTGAGTACAAAAAAAAAATCATTAAAAAAGAATAAGAATTGTTTTATAATTCTTGTTTATATGATGGATTAAGTCATACTCCGTATATTAAAATTAAATCAATAATGGTCCTATCTCCTATCTAAACAAATGTGCTATGTTTAACTTTTTCTAGGGAAAATGGAAACGAATAATTCATCCTTTTAGCAGTCTTCTCACAATAATCCCACCTTTTCATTATTCAGGAACAATTCAACATTTGCACCTCATCTTCATTCAATGGTCTCTGACCGGTTCAAGACCTGATATTCCAATTATTTTCTTATCTTTGTAATATATTATACCATAAATCTCACCTTATAATCACATTATGTTTTGCAAAGATAAGAAAATAACTTGGAATAACAGTTCATCAACAGGTCAGAGACTATTGAATGAAGATGTGGTGCAAAGGTTGGATTATTCCTGAATAATGAAAATGTGAGATTATTGCAAGAAGACCGTTAAAAGGTTGGATTATTAGTTTCCATTTTCCCTATTCACCCCTTTTTTATGGAGTTTTCTCATATTTGATGTCAACTTCTTACGGTACATAGAATTAATTACCAAAGCTAGGTTAAGTCTTCTTACGGTACATAGAATTAATTACCAAAGCTAGGTTAAGTCTCTTCCGCAAGACACTTCTCCAACCGCGGCCGTTTCCCTCTTATGTAGGGTTTTTTGTTTCCCTCGTTTTCTCCAAGTGTGCGGTTGTGTTTGATTTGACTGAATCATTAGATTTCATCTCAATTTCAAGATGGTAATTTAGCAGTTTGAGATTCCTTTAGTGAAGGCATCGATTGATGTCCTATCAGCAAGAGTGGAGACTCATAAGGAAAGCTACCGTGCCATGACAAAGAATGTGATAAACAAGGAGCATGGTGAGGAAGAACATGCAGTATTGTCGACCCGCCCACCGCCTAAACCACCGTCATGGAGGGATCATGTGGCTAGGGTTTGGAAGACATCGATTCAATTTTTTGTTTTGGTCGCACACGGTTTATTGCACTATTTTTATTTTCAGCTTAATTTATGTTTCTTTAGACTGTTTAATTTATTTTTGGATTATTTATGTTAGTTGATTTTTTGAGGTGCTTATGGTCGTTATTTGTCTCGAAGTTCATATATGTTTAGCGAAAAGTTTCACTGTGTTCTGGATGAACTTTTCTATGTATGATCATGGACTGGAGCGGCTTTTTAGCTATTTAGAGTTTTTTGATGTGGTAAAGAGTACGATGACCATAAGGGTCAAGAAGAACTCTATGTTTCTCATTAATTTGGTGGTCAGCGATCGCGATGCTTCTTTGGAGATGGTCGTCTTAGAATCTGATCATAGGACTTCTATCTCTTGAGTCTAGATGGAGTCTGTTAGAAGATAGTTGGAGTTTGAGTTATTGGCTGATTGTATTTGCGAATTACTGATTAAATTATTATAGTTTGATGTTTTTCCTTTCAAAAAAGAATTAATTACCAAACTCCAAATAAAGTCATTTCAAGTATTAAAACAAAAGTAACAAATAAGTTTAGAAACACAATCTCAACAAAAATAGACATGAAAGTATGAAACCAAATAGTGAAGTGAAATACAAGTTATTATTAAGGGGGTGTTTGGATTTGATCCTTAAAACTGCTTCTGCTCCTTCCTTCTGCTCCTTCAGGGAGTAGAAACAGAAGTTGGAGTGTTTGGGTAAAAGTGAAGAAGTGATTCTGGTGCTCTAATTTACTCCTAGAATCAGTTTTTTAGAAGCTGATGGTGACCAGCTTCTGAAAACTGATTCTGATTCTGCTTCTGCTTTAAAAAAGAAGTAGAATCAGAGTTAGTTCCAAACACCCCTAAGTTAAGGACCCTTGTTTATTGTTGAGTATTTAAGATAGCAAGTAAAGTAAATTTGAGTAAAAAAGTATTCATTAGAGAGGGAATAAGATGTGTTCATGATTCCTGTATATGTGATCCATTAAATCAGTCTCCGTATTTTTTTTTAAACCAATCATTGCAATATACTCAAATCTGTTCAAACGTGTAAGATAAAATGGAAGGAGCATCCATAGATAAGATGCATGAGTCTCGTTTGCAGTGGTTTGGTTATGTGCGTAAAAGATAGAGTGATGCACCTGTTTAAGACTTGAAAGGTGAGGAGAAGAGGCCGAAAGGAGAGGAAGATACAAACACACTTGGATTAGAAAAATCAGAACGGATATGCGTCTTTTTGGAATGGATGAGAGTATAGCTTTGGACAGTTCAAAGTGGAGGGCGCACATTCGTGTGGACAATTGATCTTTTTTCTATCTTTTCCTCATGTTTTCTTTTATCATTTATCTTCATTATTTTTTATATTCTTATGTTATATTTATCTTATACTCCCTCCCGAAACAAATGCCTGGTTTGATTTTTCACAGTTACTAAGAAAAGTGGGATTTTAAAAGTGAAATGCCCTTGACTCCTTTTTTAAAAATTGGGGGAGGGGCTGATTTCGGCATTGCTACAATGTAAAGAAAAAAAGGCAATGATTGCATTTATTTTGAAGTCTCACTTTCATACATAAATTCGGTGCTACAGTATCAGAACCGAACAAAAAATGGGAAAATACACCAATCAAAGCAAAGGGGTTTAATGCATAGAATCCTCCTGTGATATTAAAATTCTGCGTGTTACCCCCTTCTGTTATAAAAAATGCACACAACCCCTGTGTGTTTTAATAAACTAAGCACATTACCCCTACAAACGGTGAAGTTAACGTGATTGTACTACACGCGTGATTAGTGCGTTTTTGGGTTCCTTTTTTACATTTTTAACTAGCAAAATGTCCAATTTACCCCATATTCATCACCTCCTTTCCTAATAATTGCTCCAAGCTGATATTCTGAGTTTTGTTTCGTATCTCATTTCTGTAAGTGTTGTTGTAGACTTGAACCATTAATTATACTATATTTAATTACTCCGTATTTGTTTTCCAGATTTTTAACTTCTTTTACAATCTATTTTTTAAAAAGTATATTTAAAAAAGTGATGTCACATAGCGTCATCAACTTTTTTTAAAAGCATGCAAATCTAATTTCCAAACATTAAATTGGAGTGATCCAGTAAATGGGAATGATCCAAAATACGCAAAAATAAAAAATAGCCAATTTGCAGTATCACACGTTTTCAAATAGCAAAATTAAAGAGGAATATTACAACATGGTGCTGGAAAAAACACAACTTAGCAGGACAAAGTAAGAAGGAATATTACCCTTCACCAAAAGAACAACAATAAGTACGAGTGTTTTGCATTGTCAAAAATTTCAGAATAGCAAAATATAAAGCAAAAGCAAAAAATTCATCCTTTCGAGAATGAATAATTGTTGTCTTAAACATATTACTACCAATCTACCATACTAAACTGGTCACACATGCAAACCTATTTATATGTACTTGAAGCTTTTTGGCTAGCTTTATGGGATGAGTGGAAGAAGTTAGATGTATCAGGCTGCATTGTTGCTCCTAGAATATCCTGTATGCCCAAACAAAAATGTAACATGGGAATTAATGTAAGTGGAATAAAATTGTATGCAAAAGTTAAAACAAAAACAAGTGAGGACCATACCCAATAGGAAGCATTTTCAAAGCTGTCAATGTCAAAATCTGTCACCATTGAAACAAGCATGTCTTGATGGAGTTGCTCTGGGCCGTGATCTGAAGGGGAAGCTGCAGACTGCTCTGTAGGTTCATTTTCACCTTGCTGTCTTGATCCGCGTGAAGATTTTCGGGGACACGTTCACTTATTGTGTCCAAGAGTACCACAAATCTTACATGTGTGTGTTAGCCCCCTTCTAGAGGCTTTGGAATGATTTGTATCATTGCCATCATCTCTTCGTTTCTTTGTTGGTCTGCCTCTTCTCTGTTTAATATTTGGGGGCCCAACCTCACCCTTACCAGTGTCTTCGAAGTCATGCATACCAGGAACTGGATATATCATGTGTTGATATACTCTTAAGTACATGTCTTTTTTAAAATACTCATGTTTATAATCTTCAACATTGAGTCTATGGTAGGAAATGCAAGCCAAAGCGTGGCAGCAAGGGTACCCACACAACTGAAAAAATCCACATGTACAGAACTGGTGTTTAAGATGAACGATATGATTGTCCATGTAATATTGTACCTCATATGTTTCATTCCTGGCCCAAGAAAGAAAACATTGCCTACTTCGCTTTCTTTGTAAATCTATCTTCTTTACGATGTTGGGGCACACGTTTCCTGCATATCTCTCCATACCAGATTTCTTTACTTGAATCCTTGTCATTAATTTCCTTCTAATCCACTCAAACATGTCAATTATAGGTAGATCTCTAGCGGGCAAGACATAGTTGTTGAACGATTCTGAAATATTGTTGACTATCACATCACATTTAGCTTGTGTTTTGAATAAGCACCATGCCCAATGTTGGGTTGGTACTTTAGAAAGCCACTCAAAAGCTGTATCTTCATGACCTATCTTAGGAGATAATCTCTCTATTTCTTTCATGACTCTTTGATGTGTCTTCACACTAAATGTTGATGCAGCTTTCCAAAAAAGTTTCTTGAGCTCCAAGCTTCCAAATTTAACTTTGAAATTGTTGTACATATGCTTCACACAATACCTAATATATCAAAGTAGTGTAAATTAAATTAATTGTAACATTACATTTTTTTGTAGTTATGTACATGAACTCATTGCTTTGTGGTATTACTTAGTTGCTATTATTGAGTTTTAGGTGTACATATCACTGCTTTGTGCAGCTAGTTACTAGGTTTTATTATTCTTGATTTTTTTCATATAGTTAAGGTAAAACAGATTAAGGTCCATAATAAATATTGTAATGCACAGTAAGTAAATCACATTAAGATTTAACACTATTATATTAAATTAAAGCACAATACTACTCCTTGGATTATATTTCTCCACGGTGGCACAATAGTCATACAATCTTTTGAATTGCAAACTGATGTCAGTTGTTAACAAAGAAAGGGCGTGCCTCTTAGCCCTGTAAACCTTATGCATACTTACTTCTATCCCACATTCACTTTTAATTTTGTTTTTCAAAGCATCCAAGTTGGCATTAGGATTGTTCCTAACAGCTTCCAATATCCTCTCCCCAAGATACTTATAGTCTGCTTGATGATTATCTGTTCTAAAAGAACATTTGTGCTCTCCCATTAAAGTTTTCACTTGAAATGTTGAGCTGTTTTGAATCACCGATGCTCTCATCCTCCATTCACACCCACCCTTACAAACAGCAGTTATAACCTTGGCTTCACACTTTGGATACTTAAGATCATACCCTTTCCTAACAGACCAATCTTTTAACACTTTCTGAAAAGTTTTCCGATCAGGGAACCTATGTCCGGAAGCCAATTCATAGCTCTGCATATCAACACTTTCACCCCATTCAAACTGATCCTCCCTCAATTCTTCTTTTTCACCATCACTATACCATTCTTCTTTTTCTAGGATTTTTCTTGTTTTTTCAGCATCTCTTACCTCTTTCCTTTTTTGTTTCCTATCCTTAACGCATTTTCTCACACACTCCCATACTTTTCGTGAATGGTCTGGTGGCCTTGCAGAGAAAATGTCATCATCATCGGGCCCTTCCATATCTTCCAATGCCCAGGAGGGGCAAGAAGAGACCCCTGAGTCTGAATCATCAGTTGAAGAATTCCCCTCTTCATCTTCTACTTCAGTATAAGGTTCATTTACATTAATTGTCAAAAGTTCAGAAGACATTTTTATGTGTCCTGCCAAATACATATATAAGCAAAGTCCAAATCATCAATGTGGTTAAACAATTAATTACATAAGAAAAAATAACCCAAATTAGAACATAAAATGCAGTTAAAAACTAACAAGTTCTTTCCATTAGAGCTTGAATTTTATTTTTACTTACTTTGTTTTCAGAAAAAGCAAATACAAGTAATCCTTAGTCTTTATTGACTCTAAATAAGCCCCAGTTACAATCCCTACTAATACGTACTATACTAAGTAACCCAAAAAAAATCAGACTACATTAATAAACAAGAAACTTTTACAAAACAAAAAGTAAAATTACAATTATCAAACAATATGAAAAGGACAAGTTATTGGTAAAGCATACCTCAAAATTAATGACGAGCAGCAGTCTAATTTTTTACCATCCAGTACGTAGAAGTTTTAAGAAGGAAAGTTAGTGGAAAGTAGGTATTTTGGATCATCTGGCTTCAAATTGGTGCGACGACCTTCTTCCCCTTCGATTTTTGAATGGAGTACTGAACGGCTGCCCTAATTTAGCGTAAGAATTGGGTTTGAAGTTGGCTACGAAATAAGGATATAACGGGATATTTGAAAAAAAAAGTAACGGCGTCATTCCTTTATTCTGATAGAGGTGGGTAAGCACATTTAATGAAAACATAAGGGGCTTTCGTGCATTTTTTATAACAGAGGGGGATAATACGCAACATTTTAATATCACAGGGGGATTCTATGCATTAAACCCCAAAGCAAAGTTACAAAATGAAAGGAACTTTTGACTTTCCCTCCAATTTTTTTAACCTTTTCCACTACACTACACTTACATAATAACTCCCCTTCCTATTTTATCTTCCAAATAAGTTTGGAACACAATTTAAGATAGTGAGTATTGTGTGGTGGAGAGTTATGAAGAGGAGAGAGAAATGTGTAAGAAATGTTGTGAATCACAAATTATTTACTAAAAAGAGAAAGTGAAAGTTTTAATTAGAACGATCGAAAAAGGAAAGTTGGAAGTTTTAATAGGAACGGAGAGAGTAGTCCATAGCATAGCTTTTTGTCTGGAAGCTACAACAGGCCTTTATTTCTCTTCAACCTCCCTCTCCCTCACATGTGGAATAACTTTCCACATGAAAGCTACAACAGTTAATACTACAAATAACCGACAACTTGTGTTATTTGATGCACATGAGCCTCCTACATAAGAAATAAATGTAGATGACCAAGGAAAGAGGAGGACAAATCTGAGTAATGCCGAAAAGGACATGGCAGTCCAAAAACTTCTAATTACATTAAAAAAAGGTATTGGAACTACAAGTTTTCAGGTTCAGAGAGGCTTAATCAGTAAACTAGATGTGGATTTCAATGTCACAACAAGAATAGTGAGCTTAATCTGGAACATAGTAAAAAAGTAAATACAAGCGGCCGGGTTGCCTATGGATGTTCAAAGTCAGATGTCAGGTAATGTGGGAAGGAAAAGCATACACTATGATGATGACTTAATTCAAGGCACCCCTTTACACAAAAGAACAACCATCAAGTCTCTCGGTATGGCCTTAGGATTGTCCAAGAACACATCACACAGATTGATTAAGGCAGGTAGGGTTAGAAGTCATACAAATGTCATTAAGCCACTAGTGAATGATGGGAATAAACTGAAGAGGATGGAGTTATGTATAAAACAACGTCAACCATACTTTATTCCCAATATAGCAAAAAGGTATTATTTGGGTGCCCAAGAAAAAGATACATACAGGTTTTGCAAATAAAAAAGATTCATTACAAAAATCATGTTTATGTATGCTTCATGCAGGCCTGTTCTTGGAGAGGGGGGAGGGGTACTATGGGATGGGAAAATTAGTGTGTTCCTCTTCACAAAAAGTAAGCCAGCACAGAGAAAGTCAGAGAATAGGGATGCAGGGGTATTAGAGACTAAGCAACTTAACAGTATCACCAAATCTGTTGTCAAAGACATGTTAATCCCAACAAACACATCATACAACTTCATAATAGATTTAGTCAATCAACCTCCTAATTCCCCTGACTTTAACATTCTGGACTTAGGGTTCTTTAGGGTTATCCAGTCTTTAAAGGATCAGGCAGCCCAAACAATAGTGCCTCAACTAATTGAAGTTGTTCATAAAGCATATGATGAGTTAAGTGCTCAAAATTTGGACAAAGTCTAGGTGACGTACCAAACAGTCATGCAAGAGATACTTAAGGTCAAGGGGCTGGGGAGGAATAACTACAACCTGCCCACATTGGGAAAGATAACATAGCAGCACATGGACAACTACCAAGTTCAGTGTTTTTAGACACGATAGTGTATGATGATACAATTGTATAACTCCAGCTAAGGACAACACAATTGGGACCATCTACTGAAGACACTGGTAATAGCCTGTTCACTAGTGAAGTTGAGAAGGAGGATCCGCACCTTCATCACTTAACATGGGTCTAGTTGAATATTTTTTGTGTAAATGTTAAGCCCCTTACCTCTTTTGGTACATTTCATTAGTTTTTTTGCTTCACTACAAATTTTGGACAGAGGTATAGGGTATTGTGTGTGACAGACCGAAAGAAGTGTTGTAATCAGTCAAACACGAGTTTTTATATTGCACTGTATTGCTTATTTCATGACCTAACCCAATTAGGAAACCTAGACACGCATGACAAGTATAGGTTGTGCACCTCAAGACTGTATAAAACTCCACAAAATGCTCAACCATTCAAAAATACCACAACACACATAAGTGAAGGAAGAGCACCCGCCTAAACCCATATGAAATGGGGGTGGATAACACACCAACACAAAATACACTAAAGTTATTCATCATTACCAAACCACACATAAGTGTAGGAAGGTAAGCCGCCTTAACCCATATGAATTGGGAGTGGCTTACACACTAACACTAAATTGAACTCCCTTTGCACTAAAGCCATTCATCATTACCAAACACACATAAGAAGATTACGAAGGTCAGCTCCCTTAACCCATAGGAATTGGGGGTGGCTAACACACCCATAACACAAAGAAGCTATGAAGTCCAGAACACATTTTTCATTACCAAAAGGAAATAACCCATAATGCATGTTAAATCTACCAAATAAACATCATAGGATTATAATAAGTACTCCCCTAAGGCCACTGCTTGTCCCAAAGCTTAAGATCCTACTTAGGCATAAAAAGCTTGAGCCAGCTATATATCTATTGAAGCTTTGCGTACAGGCGTCCACTGATAGATTAGTTGGGTTCAAAGGGTTGGATGAGGATATCAACACAAGTATCGGCAACGACAAAGCAAACCTATGACTCAAATGACTCATGGATATGACAGTGACAAAGGATGGAGGTGAACGCCTACAAACACGGAGAAGGTTGATGAAGATGAGGGTTTGGACAGAAGAAGGATTCAGCCACACATGAAGGTTCGAGGGAGAAATCGGAGGTTTTCAAGGGTTAGACAGAGCGAGAGGAGAGATGAACGGTCAGTATGAGGAAGGTGAGATGAGAGATGATGGTTCAGATGAGAGGAAATAAGAAGCGAAGGGTAAAGTGGGAGAGAGGAGAGAGGAGAGGGATAATATGAAATGGTTAAGGTGTTTGGGGTGAGGACTGTTTAGGGAGTACATGTATAAAGGATTGCTTAAAAAGTTAAAATAGAAAGGTGACCATTTTTCGAGACGAAGGGAGTATCTTTTTATACCCTTTTATCGTTTTTTTCTTTTTTTTTTATCTTTCTTATATTCTTATGTTATTGTTAACTTACATTTATCTTTATCTTATTCATTTTATCTTATCCTTTTGCCTTTAACTTCTTCTCCTTTTCGCACTGATATCATGAATCGATTAATGTAAACCGACCCCAAATTCTTTTGGGATGAAGGCTCGAATGTTGTAGTTGTATTTAATGTCAAATTCTTACAATGCATAGACTTAATTGTCAAAATCCAAATAAAGTCCTTTTAAGAATTAAAATAAAAGTTACCATTAAGTTCTGAAACACAATCTCAACAAAACTAAACATACAACAAAACACTGAAATGAAAACACATATTTCTCAACACAAAATCACTGGCAAATTTGTTCTAATGCAGTAACAATCTGTGGAGGCTGTACATAAGGTGTGGGCACATCTTGTGATGACAAACACACAATAGGAGCGTCCAAGTAGTCATTGAAATTCTCCGTAATCCCACCGGTCCGCATGCACTCTTCCACAATGACCACCCGGTGAGTCTTCTTTACCGAGTTCCCGATCGTATATATATCGAATGGTTTCAGTGACCTGATGTCAATCACCTCAGGGTCATACCCTTTTTCCACAAGAGTCTTGACAGCCTGCATGACATGGTACCTCATCCTAGAATAGGTCAGGATAGTGACATGTTCCCCGGGTCTCACCATCTCGGCTTCTTCTAGATTCAGCACATACTCCTCATCTGGGATTGTTTCTTTAAGGTTGTACAGCAAAACATGCTCGAACAGAATCACAGGGTTGTCTCTTCTAATGGCTGCCTTCATCAACATAGCATAATAATATTAATTATAATAAGTAATCAATATGACTTGGAGAATGCTTCTTCTTAAAGAGAACGTTTCAAACCGGAAAAAATCCTTCTTAAAGAGAACACCATTTCAAACCACTCCAAAACACTCTACCAAATAGGCACTTAACGTCTAAGTTAAGAAACATTGTTTAGATGCATGATATGAGTTTTCTTGCACTTAAAATATGTAGCACTATAGAATGTAAGTATGAGTATCGTCTTCGCAGGGACGGACAAAAGGAATTAAGTATTAATTAAATTCAGTAATAAAAACTAACTAAGAAAAATAAATAAATAAATAAATAAATAAATAAATTGTGCGAGATTTGATTTGATGGAAAATTAAATTGCGAATAAAGAAATAAAATTAATGGGTTCTTTGTAATTATTAGTAAGGGAATAGGGATTAATTTCAGGGTAATCATATTTCTGGTTTATCAGACTTAATTACATGAAATTAATTTAATTGAGCATGGTAGTCAATACTAAGTTCTAACCGCTCTCGCGGCGTAGAGTACAATAATTTAGGGAATCAGGTTGATCTCTCATGCAAAAAGTATCTAAAATTATTGCCAAAACGAGCGAGCGTATGACCCCTTAACTGTTACTAATCTCTTAGCGAACGAATAAATGTGTGTGAAGGTGTCCTAGAATAAACTAGATCTCTCTTAATTTATTCTACAAGCAAATTGTAATTCTAGTGGCCATTCTAGGTTACAAAAGATGTCAATTAAATTATTCAAACACAAATTAAATAACATTCATGCAATTAATTCATCATGAATTTAGCCTTACATCATAATTAACCCCTTCATCAACCTCAAATCCCTAATTAAGACTACTCACAACTCATAATTGAAGAATCAATAGAATTGCGAAGAATAGAATTAATTGTCATTAATTAAAAATGGGAAAATTCCCGAAATAGGAGTAAAAAAGTTTGAAAATTCCAAAATAGGACTGACATGTTTTTATTTCCAAAATAGGAGTAATTACTGTTAAGTTTGGAAAATGTTGTCATGTTTAAAGTTTGGCAGTAATTAGTCTTATTTTGACAGTAAAGGGTCAAATAGGTACATGAACTAACTTAAAGTGTTCAATTAGCCCCTTATATAGGAGGTTCTGGCCGACCGTCGCCAATTGGGGCAGTTCCTGGTAATTTTTTTTGATATAATTGTTTGCGCATCTTCTTCATTAAGTTAGTTTACTCATATCAAATTTCTGATAAAAATTAAATCGGGAAGGCAGTCAAATCATTTTCTTAAATGTACTACGTTGTTTAACTGCACAGTTATCTTCAAAAAATCATTTGACTGTCTTCCCGGTTGAATTGTTAGCTGAAATTTGGTATGAGTAAACAAGACTTAATGAAGAAGATGCTCAAAAACTTTCATCAAAAAATTCCACCTGGAACTTCCCCAATTGGCGACGGCCGGGCAAAACCTCCTATATAAGAGGCTAATTAAACACTTTAAGTTAGTTCATGATAGTCCTATTTTGGAATATACAAACGTTTTTAGCCCTATTTTAGGTAATTTCTCATTAAAATTTTGGAAATTACAAATAATCCAAGGGAATTGAAGAACAAGGTGGAAAAGTAGAAGAAATTTCGTCCCTGTACCTCTCTCTAAGCTCCGCGACCAAAAACAAAGATTTACAGGGTGTTTAAATAGAAAATAGATCAATCCGGTCCGAAATAGGACACCTGGGGGCGAAAAACTGCCAGGCACGGTGTGCCTCCATGGTAGGCACGACCGTGCCTGACCTCCAGAGAGTTGCAGCCCGTTTCTTCTATAGGCACGCCTGTGCGCCGGGCACGACCGTGCCTTCCCTTCCGAATTTGACAATGCTTCCTTCATGAAAGTTGTAGATACTGAAGTTGTCTATCCACCACAACTTGCAAAACTGAATTTTGATCCAATCAAAAGATATGAATAAAATGGTGGAAGGTCGCATTCTGAAATCGCAACGGCGATCATCTGACTTCTTTGTCTGTTTTAACCTTTCTCCTCTCAGATTCTTGCAGTGGTGTCTTCATATGACTTGTAGCTCTTGAAGTTGGCTTTCATATGGAACTTGAATCATGTTCTTTGGATGTTTCTACAAAAAGCTATGTTTGAATGATTGACAGAATGTCATCCTGAACGCCGTTTTCAAGCTCTATTCATCTTCATTTGATCTCGTAGCCACTCCTAGAGCTCTCCTATCACCGAATCGTCATCGTGAACCTCCCGGTGACCTTCAAAGCTCTCAATTCTCTCTCGAATGCATCATCAGATCATCTTGATTTATTCTCAAGCGTCGGTGCCAGACTCTAATTCCTGATTTTGACTCCAAACAATACAAAACTAGAACCAACACCCGGTAACTATGACTTGAGATAAAAATGAGACTTGTGACACAAAATAATTAGGGAAACCATCAAAAATCGAGCTAAACATGCATCAAATGCGTGTCTAAATACGGACTTATCAAATTCCCCCACACTTAAGCTTTTGCTTGTCCTCAAACAAACTGAACATCGGGACTTACGATAATCACCACACGAAATTAAGACTATTAGCATTCACAGATAGTTAAAGGAATATTCACAGAATAGAAAGACTAAACCAAGAAAATTCTTCCCTAAACTACATCTTTGTACTCTAGCTAACATATTTGACAAAATTATTTACAACATCCTCAAAGTAATGGCAGCACACACTAAAAACCTACCTACTGATCAGAAGGACTTGTGAAGGTGGCAGTGAATGGTGAGGATTATACGATCTCTTTCTTTGAGAGTTTTGGAACAACCTGACAAGGACTTAATGCATTCAGGAATTTCAGGGCTATTCTTAGGATCAGGGAATTCAGTAGACACAAATTAGAAACTATCATTTAAACCTATGCAAATAGTAGACATGATGTACAATTAAGTTAAACCGCTGTGGCACATTGGTGCTTTGACGTATACTTGAAGTACGCAAAGGACTAATGCTAAATTTTGCAAAAGCCTTCAAGTTCATTTGATTAGGTTTAGAGTTCCTTGTCATGTTGGCACGAGAACGCCATTTCTTTCGAAATATACCCGAGTCTCATCTTATTGTGCGAACACTTACACTTTTTTACCGGGGCTCCCATTCTCTTTTTTGCAAGGTAAGAGGTCTAGCTATCAATTAATTTTTTCGATTTTTTTTTCAGATTTTCGCTAGACATTACCCCATTCTAATCTCGGCCTCACCAAGGAAAATTAGCAATTCTAGTTCATTTAAACAGGTGAATCCATGCCTACAATGCAGGGCTGTTTTTTAGGGGGTTCAATAGGTTATCCAGAATAGGGCCCCCAAATTTACGGGGCCCCAAAATTTCAAAATTTTATTAGTATTATATAATACTCCGTAATATTATACTAAATATATTAATACTGATCAGTAAAACACAGTTAGTGAGGAAGAAAAATATAGATTCGCCATTTTTTCGTTGGTCGTTTTAGTTTTCTTCACTCAAATTGCTTGAATAATGAGTTGTGTTGCTTTAAATCAAATATTAATTCAATTTTAGAAATTGTTTCTTACATTATTTAATGAGTATTCAATTAATTTAAGTATATGTATTTGGATTGAAATGTTTTTGATACTTTTTTATATAAATGTGGGGTCTCGATTTTACATTTGAAACCGGGGCTTCCGAATTCATTAGACGGCTCTGCTACAATGCAATCCTCGGAAATATCAAATTCCTAAAAAGTGACTCCTCTTACCCCGCTTGGGGCATAGGAACAGTGCCAAATTTGGCTCCTACGAAAACACCCTAAACTTAGCAAATTAATCCCCTAGTTCCTTAAACACCAAGACTTTGTCAGAATTATTCGAGGGTAATGAAACAAAGGCCATATGGCTATGGAGCTCAATTAATTGGGTAAAGAACAAAATGGTCAGGCTCAAAGTGGCTTCTCCTAAAGGACATATTCAAGCAAAATATAAGATTAATGAATTCAATGGGTGACTAATGCCTTCATCCTCTCAACAACTAGGTTATAGTGCAAGCAATTTAAACCTAAATACTTCAAAAATGTTCTAAAAGCATAGTCAAAACGCTAGCCAACACACAAAGACACCGTTTAAGGAAAAATTTTCAAAAAAAAAAAATTGCCATGACTTTTCTATGAATATACAACTAACACATGCGCATGCTAAGTCTAGTAATCCCATGTAACAACAACTGCCCGGATGCCCAATTCACTCTCCCACACCTAAAATTTGGCATCGCCCTCGATGACAAAAAATGCACAATGCACAAGAGGATAAAGGGGAAAAGGTCACGCGTGCTCACATTATCTCAAGTCAACAGTTAACACATGCAAAGAGAATGATCATGAAAACTTCCCTAAGGGCGTTGATCAGTGCAGTACTAAACTGAGTCAATTAATCTTAGGCAAATCATCCCAACGAAAAACCCTGAGATGCAACAAAAACACAAAGTAAAACAACCAAACAACAAACGAAAAAAATAAATAGAAACAATGCAGAAATAAGCTCGGGTTGCCTCCCGAGAAGCACTATTTTAAACGTCGTGTGCCCAACGATACCTCATAAGCTCTCAAATAGCAAAGACTGTAATGGTGCACTAATTTTCAAAGCTTCTAACTTTCACTCCACAAATGCCATTAAGTGGCACAGACCTTTAAATTCTCGAGTACACGTACGCAACACATGATCTTCATAACTCTCATCAGCACAAAAGTGAAGGATGAAACTCACATCCTCTTTGGGTGGACATAGAACATGAGTCAAAACTTTGATTACTCTAGGCATCACCGGAAGCTCAAAACATGTCTCTAACAAAGATCTGGAGCAAGACAATACTCAAATTCTACTGTAGGAAAATCTCTTACTTCCTCACAAATATCATGAAAATTCACAACATCTCCTCTGGACTCTGTATCACTTACCAAATGAGCATCCCAACTCTCGTTAACACCGTTCTTATCAATGTCTTCTCGGATGATGTGGTTG